ACCGGATATAGAATTTTTTCACTAAAAAAAAAAAAAAATTTTCATTTCTTTAGTATATCTTTTTACTTTTTTTATTTTATTTTATTTTATTTTATTCTTTTGCTTACTTTTGTGTAAGCGGTTTGCCGAAAAAAAAAAAAAAGACTTGTTTCAAAATATATATATATTTGAATAAAAAAAAAAATTTCACGATACAACCTTCTTCTTTTCTTCTGCTTTTTCTTCTGCTATTCGTTTAAATTTTATTCAAGTGAAAAAAAAAAGAAAAAAATTTTCTTGAATAAATATTTGTATAAAATTTTTTCACGTTTTTTTTTTTTTTTTTTATTTAAAAAAGAAAAGAGTTTTTCATTTGTTTTATACTACGTTTTTCTTTTATTTAAATTAGTTTCTGATTGAATTTTTTAATAAATTATTTATTTATTTATTTATTTTTATCACTGATAAAAACTCGCGGGTTAATTAAACCTAAAGAGAAGAAAAGGGAGGAGAGGAGGGAAGGGAGGGGGAAAACAGTTTCGTAAATTAAAATATAAAAAAATTTATCCTTTTGACAGGAGCAAAAAAAGTTTATAAATTGATAAAATAAATAAATAAATAATAATTGAATTGTCGTCTGCTTTTTTTTTTTTTTTTTTAAATTAAATTAATAATAAATTTAAATGGTAAAAAAAAAAAATTAACAACTTTGCTTTCTCATTTTGAGTCATAAAGACCAATCGTAAACCTTTTGACGCACACGGGGGAGAAAAAAAAAATCCCCATAAAATTTAGTACAAAAAAATCAAATAATACAGAACCAGATTGCATTGACTATAATAAAAATAAAATAAAACAACTGGATCAAAGTCATAAAAGTCAATTTTTCTTTTTTTTTTTTTAAATTATTTTTTTCTTTCGTTAACCCCTTTCTTTCATCCCTTTCTTATTAACCCCTTACGTGTGTGTGACCCCCCTTAAGTAAATAATTTCTTGATATTGTTTGATTAAAAACAATAATTAACAACTTGATTAAAATCAAGTTTCCTCGTTGTTTATATTTTAACTTAAAAACAAAGAAGAAAGAAAATTAAACCGGAAATGCAAATTTTAAAACGATAAAAAGCTTTTTATGTCGTCTACGAATCCCCTCTCACTTTCGCCCCCATTTTCATTTTTGGATTAAATTACAATAATCTTTTTACAAATCCCCGGATTATATTTATTTATTTTAAATAAAAAAACAATTTATTACCTGACTTTTCATCGGATCCGTATTTATTTGGCACATATATTGACCTCTGTCCTCTTCTTGTACTGATCTTATGTGAAGATTCCATGTTGTTGAATCGCTATGAGAAACTGAAACTCTATGATTATGTGTTATCACGTGTTCGTGTATTGCTTGTATTGCTTTTGTATCTGCTTTAACCCATCCGACCTTTAAAAACAATAAGTATTATTATTATTATTAAAGTCAAGAAGAAGAAGAAAAAAAAAAATTCATACAGGGGTGAATTATTTTTATGATAAAATGTCGAATTTTCCCTCCCTTTCTTGTCACATTGTATTTATTTATATAAAAATCAAATCAAAGTTTTCAACCCTAAAAATATTAAAAATATAAACGTGGCAGCAGTGTTTCCCTCCGAATACAAAAAAAAAAAAATTTTTTTTTCTTTCCATTTTTGTAAATTAAAACTTCATTTAATTACCGTTATGACTAACGTAGTAGTAGTAGTAGTTTTATATATTTTAATTTCCGTTTCCGTTTAAACCTAAATTTTTTTTTTTAACACGGGATCAACACTTCAATCATTTAACGGGGGGGGGGGAATCTTTTATCACTTCTACCACGTCATCATCCATCTTATAAAAGACATTTTACATAATAATAATTAAAGTTTTTCAACAACCGGAAAAAAAAAAAAAATTTTTTTCCCCGTTTTTATTTTTTGGTCATCATTTTTTTTTTTTACAAATATGACGTGTTATAATAATAATAATAATAAAACAAAATTATATATATATATATATATATCATAATTTTCTTTTCTTATAAAATAATATATATATAAATAAATTTTTTTTTTTGAACTAAATATATAAAAATGAAATTTCTTTTTTTTTTTTTTTATTTTTATTTTATTTTATTTAAACTTGAACAGACGACGACGACGACGACGTCAGAAGCAAATGTCAGCTAAGTAAACGGAAATAATAAAAGAAAAACAAATTTTGATCAAAAAATCTTTTCCCTTCTTTATTTCCCTTTTCTTTTTTTTTTTTTTTTTATTATAAAAAAAGACAAAAATTAAAAAAAAAAGAGAAAGAGAAAGAAAGAGATAGAGAAAGAGAGAGAGAGAGAAAATGGGCGGTTTCGCGGTTCGAAGATCTTCAATAAGAATAACAAAAAAAATAAAATAAAATAAAAATTTTTTTTTCCTCTTCTCTTTTTTCTTTTGCTTTCCCCCTCCCCCCCCAAAATAAAAAAAACATTAATGCCCCCGATTTATTATTATTATTATTTATTCATCGATCGAATCCGATGAGTATATTTTTAACAAAAAAATAGTATTATTATTATTGTCACTTTTAAACAAGACAAGATTTTTATTCCATTTATTCCAGGTTTCTCCAGGTTTCTACCCGATTTCTCGAATTTCTTCGGTGTTATTATTATTATTATTATTATTATTATTATTATTATTATTATTATTATTATTATTATTAAACATGATTAAACGTGTCACATAATTCTTATCAACAACATTTATCAACCGTTAAAAAAAAAATTAAAAAAACTTTTAATAATGACAAAAAAAGGACTCAAATTCAAATCGAATTTTGTTATTGATTATATTAATAATAATCGATACATAATCAATATCAAATATTATTAATTTATCGATTATTTACGTGGAAGGAGACACAAACAACCTAACCATTTTATTTTTTTATACCACAGAAACCTTCCGCGCCATTTTCAAAAAAAAATTCATTTTTAACGAGTAAACTATTATTATTATTAGTATTATTTATAGTATCATCTATCATATTTAAATTTGATATATATTTATATATAATATTAAAAAAAAATTTTTTTTTTCATTTTAATTTGAATTTATTATTTGACGTTTATTATTATTATTAATCGATAAAATCAATAAAATTAATTTTTTCTTTTTGAAATTCTCAAACAATTTAAAACGTAACAAATGTCGCCGCCATTTTAATAAAAAATTATGTAAATAATGTTTATTTATTTAATAATTTATTATAAATAAAACTTTCTACCTTTTCCACCCTTTTTTTTAAATTATAATTTATTATTAAATTTTTTTTTAATTAAATTATTATTAATAAAAAAAAAGAAACAAATTTTAAATTTAAATTTAATATAAAATTAAAAATTATTATTATTGTGTTTGTGTGGTGTGTGTGATAGAAAAAGTTTATTTTTAGCTTAAGGTTGAATTATAATAATAATAATAATAATAATAATAATAATAATAATATAGAAGAAAACAAAAACAATAGAGAGTAGGAAAAAAAAGGTTTCCTTTAGGAAACATTGACAAACTTGTTATTAAACTTTTATTATGTAAAACAAAAACGTTATATTATTTAATATATATATATATATATATATATATATATATATATATATATATTTGTATAAAGGTTTTTTTTGAAGGGGGAGAAGAGGGAAGGAGGGGGAAATAGGTAAAAAAAGAAAAAAAGAAAAAACTTACTCTGTAACCTCCCAAATGTTTAACAACGCATTTAAATGTTGCATCTCTTCCAACAGGAACCGTTATGTTTGATATCGGTTCGGAAAATTCTGGCTGATAACATAAACCTAAAAAAAAATATAAACATAAATAAAATTATAAGAAAAACAACCAAAAGAGTGAGACAGAGAGAGAGAGAAAACGTTAGATATAATAATAATATCTAACAATTTAAAATTTAAGATTTTTTTTCGTTTTTCGTTTTTTTTTCGACGTGAATTTTTGTGCGTCTTTTACGACAACTTTCATTTTACAACCCCTTCGAGATGTAGAAAAATTTCAACTAATAATAATAATAATAATAATAATACAAAAGGAGAAAAGTTATAAAATTTTAGCAAAATGGCTGTTGAGGGCTGGTGACTCAAAATGGATTCGAAATTGGGAAAGAAGAGGAAGGAGTGGGATTGGGTAGGGCTGGG